GTGATTGTAAATCACAGTGTTTTCTGATGCCCGTTTGCAGACGGCTTTGTCTCAGAGTCTCTTGGATTGTTTGACAGATGAAGTTTATCTAATCCTGCAAAACATTACACAATAAGGAAAAACTGAGATTCTCCCATGTTTCATGCATGCAGGCAGTCAAAAGACTACACACAAACCAAATTCTACTTTGTGATTAAGGACTTCACATTTGCTGAAGGCCAGAACTGACACTCTAGCTCAGGCAAGAATTACTTTTGGGAAACTCCCTCAGTTGCGGAAGGGAGAGAAGCCTAAGCTCCCACTGCTCACATCGCAGGCGTAGATGTTAAGAACTGAGAAAGACTTGTAATCCTTTACTCTGTCAGCCCCCAAAGACCAAAATAATTACCCATTTCTTTTAAACTAGAGCATCTTTCTGAAAAGCATCCACTGCTGATCTTAAGATCACTGGTGATGACCCCATCACCTCTCTAAACTGCTTATGTATCTAATATTTTTAGGCCTACGTTGCTACTCATTTGTTGATCTCCATTTCCAGCCATTTGTTCTGACAATTTACTTTCCACTAATTAGCTACCATGCTCCACCAACCTCTAGCCCTCAGTGTCACAGTTTTCAGCATGGGGGAGAAATGAGCACGCAAACTTTGGTTCTCATTCTTTGAATTCCATGTGACGGTTTTTAACAGACACTGTTATGCACAGCGTTGAAAACTGTTTGTGTCAGGAACCTGGGCTCTTCAGGATTTATAACTCCTTGCTTGTGTCCAATGCAGACCTTTTACCAGCTGCTTTGCTGCTCCATTTTGATCACAATATTTACACAAAATCACACAGTATGTGATAGCAAGCAGACAAAAAAAATCCACTAGAATGATGCCATCCAGTGACCACTAACCAACTATGCCTGCATTTTGAAGTTAAAAATTACATAGGTTGAAAGCATTTTATTAAACACTGTATGTTTAATAAAGTGCCACAAATTATCAAGATAAATCTTTTACATCATTTGTTTTAAGATGGAGACTTCAAAGTTTTACCAGACCTGCTGCTATAAGCCCATGCTGACTGATGTTAATTTACTTCCTTCAAAGCTCCTTAACAGCCATTACATTATATGAAGTATTTTAAGAACAGTCAAAACAGTTGCACAAAAAAACAGGATTCTGCAAGCAAGTCAACTGAAAAGAGATGAATCAAGACCTCATAAAGTGACCTTAACTAAAATCCGGGGGATAATGTCAAATACATCACACACATCATATATCTGTCTCGGTCAACAATGGAACTTCTCTGAAAATATTTTCAGCGTAAAAATCAATGGAAAGATTCACACACCCCTGGCCCACTAATCCATGCCCCTGGAGCTTCAAAACTCAACATCAAAAAAAAAAATCACAGAATGGCTTGTTTTAATTCTACACTATCAAAAGCAGCATGGCCAGTAGGTTGAGGGAGGGGATTCTCCCCCTCTACTCCGCTGTGGTGAGACCCCACCTGCAGCGCTGCGTCCAGCTCTGAAGCCCCCAGCACAGGACAGACATGGACCTGCTCGAGCAGGTCCAGACGAGGCCACGAAGATGATCAAGGGGCTGGAGCACCTCCCCTATGAGGTCAGGCTGAGAGAGTTGGGGTTGTTCAGCCTGGGGAAGAGAAGGCTCTGGGGAGACCTTATTGCAGCCTTTTGGTACTTAAATAGGGCTCGTCAGAAAGGTGGGGGCAATCATTTTAACAGGGCCTGTTGTGATAGGACAACAGGTAATGGTTTTAAACTAAAAGAGGGCAGATTTAGACTAGATATAAGGAAGAAATGTTTTACAATGAGGGTGGTGAAACACTGGCACAGGCTGCCCAGAGAGGTGGCAGAAGGCCCATCCCTGGAAACATTCCAGGTCAGGTTGGACGGAGGTCTGAGCAACCTGATCTAGTTGAAGGTGTCCCTGCTCACTGCAGGGGGGTTGGACTGGGCGACCTTTAAAGGTCCGCTCCAACCCAAACTATTCTAGGATTCTATGACTATCAGTCATTTTGTATTTCCCTTCTTAGTAGGTCTGATCTTAACTTAATTGCCACCAGTAGAGATGCACTCTAGGAAGTGCTTGGGTTTTGTTTGCCAGAGTCACAACTCTGGAAAGCAGTAATCTGTGAAAACCACCATAAGTACCTTTTAGACATCACAAACTGAATCCACAGTTATAAATAAACTCTGAAGTTTCACCATTAGTCCTCTCAATTTAAGCAAACACTATTCTAGGGCTCTAAAGAGGTAGGAGCTTCATTAATTAGTAAAGATAAGAAGTGGTAACAACAGCTACTAATTATGTACAATTTATCCTCTTAGTATCAAATAAGGACATATCATGAAGATCAACAGTGTACCTTAGCTCTCGACTCTTCAAAAAATAACACAAATCTACGCATTCTCACCTTAACTTATAGAAACTTCCACCAAAAAAAAAAAACAGTTTTCTGTAAGTTGTAACAGAACTTTAGCAGTAGCACATCAAGGTGTCAGTGCTGGAGAAAGGAAATTTCAACAACAAACTACGTTCTCAGCGCGGTATTACCTATCGCCTTCAGGAGCTCTTCGCGCACAGCGGAAGTGAACTTTCTGACCAGACACAATGTCGTCATGATAGCAAAGAGCAAGTTGTAAGACAGCACAATATAGAAGTTTCCCAGCCAGTTAAACCTTCCAAAGTCTCCAAGCAGATCAAATCTGGTGATTCCTGTTAAAATTGCATTTAAGATTTACATCAAAATCTTGATTACATTTTAAGAAACACAAAAATTTCATTCTATTAATTTTACATATGGAAGCAAAATTCTTTCAGACAACACACTAAGATACACGGTTAAACACATAAGACAACATTCTCAAGGTCACTTTCCACTTCATTGACCACTAAGATATACTTACCAAAATGTTTCTTAAGTTTTCTAGTAAAATGCTTGAATAATGTCAGTTGAAGTAAATTGTCTATTCTAGATAATTCTGCTTTTATAGCTTCAATAAATATAACTAGGGAAAAAAGTCAGTATTAGTATGAAAACTGCTTGAAATCTCAGTTCCTATGAAATCCTTTTCTATTCCAGAAAAGGATGAAATGCAGCATGGGCTTTCTTATTAAAAAAATACAGGTAGCAAAAAGCCGTTCCATGAGAGCCACAACATCTTGCAGTAAACACGAAGCCTTTGTAAGTGGTTTTTCTCAGCCACTGCTTTTGAAACCAAAGATTACAGACATCTTTCCCGCTGCAGTTTTGCTCCTAAATCTACCCACCACTGCAGCCACAGAGCATTTGCACAGAAGGAAAAGAGTTTGGCTGAAAGCTAAGTGCTGACAGGTCTTCTTCAGAGTGGACTTCGTATCACTGACACTTGGGCTTTGTGCTGATCAAAGGCCAGTCAATACCTAAAGCTAAGTGAGCAAAATTTTCCCCAAAGGCAGCCGTGTCTGCAGGCTGTAGGGCCCATCCCAGAAGGCAGAAGAGGAAGAACCAGAGGTTGTGCCTTTGCCAGGTCTACATCAAGGATGGCACCAAATAAAGGGCAGAATTGTGTGATGATATCTAGGATTGACGAGCCATTATGTTCCCAAAAAACTTTTGGCACAGATGTCACAGTGATGTGCGCTCTTACAGTTGAGACCAACAGGGTGAAGGAAGGAACCTCACCTCACCCCAAAACTAAAATGGCAGCAGAAAATAACCCTGGTTCTGAAGTTCCTGGAAGGGAGTTTTCTATCATCTTATTTTGAAACGGTTTGGGGGCTTTTAAGAAATGTGACTTCAACAAGTGACAATGACCGAAGAGAGATAGAATTAAGGGCCAGTCACCTTCCTTGCAAGGGTAAACCTGGCACTTACGAATCTCATTTGTACGTTGATACCCAAGATTTACAGCCAACAATCACAATGGCAAAATATACTTCTTGTACCCAGCACCAGTCATTTAAATTAAAAATATGGGAATCAAATTTGGTATCTAAGGAAAACATGCCAAAATGAAGAAAACGAAAAGGAGAAGTCTCAAAGGATACAAAAAAAAAAAAAAGAAATCACTGAAGCTGAGCAAAATAGCAAGAGGGGCAGGAAGAAATATCAAAAAAGCACAGAAGGTCTTAGCACAAAGAGAAGAAACGGGCTGACTGACAGTAAGCAGACGAAGGACAATAAACAGAGTTGCTTTCACACATGAAGGCAAACAGTGTCCCTAACACTTTCAAAGCAGCAGAGTGTTTTAGTCACACTGTAGAGCTACAGGAAAATTGAGAAAGTCAGGCTTGAACTTAAAGGCTGGAAAAGAAGTAATACTCCTTGACACAAAGGGGTTCAGAAGAATAGCTAGCAACAGAGCAGGCGTTATAAGGACAAACAAAAATGAAGCCTGACACTTCTGTTAAAGCAGGTGGGGAAAAAAATTGTCCATAAATTACATTAATTTTCCTTTTATGAATAAAAAAGTCACCGCTCATCAGAAGAGCTCTGTCACAGTACCATTTTGTACATTTGTAGGAGAAAAGGGTTAAAAAGCTTTTGATGATTTTCTTACAAAAGAAGGATCTGCTCAGCCCACAGAGAAAAACATTCCCAAGACTGCAGTTTGAAAAACAACTCAGTAACTGAACAGAAAGCTGCATCTCCAGTGGACACAAATATATATCCACAAAGGTTGGTGACAATTTACCAAATAAACTATTAAAGAATTATTCAGGTTAAAAAACCCTCTGGTTTTAGACGGTACATACAAGTAAGTTTCAAATCACCATTTACTTAAGCCATAATACTCAGGAGTAGAATTCTAGGAAAAAAAACTTGTATATTAGAAAATTCAATTTTGTTTGCAATTCTTTGTTTCTGTATTCTTGACTATTAAGTGCCCTGTTCCCAGTTTGTGTCTCAGTGGGTAGCAGTATGGTGCTGGTGGGAAACATTTTTGAATAAGGACTGTTAAAAGGCTGAAGAGTTCTGGAAAAAATGAGTTAACTTTTTTAGTAAAATAACTTATTTTATTAAAAACTTCCCTGGAGTTCTAGAAGAATGATGGATTAGAGACACCCACCACCTACATATCTAACGAGAAAGCTACGAAACATGTAAAAAATTCTCTTGTTTCCATTTTTAAAACTTGCAGAAGGTCAGTACATGTATTGGATAACTTTTGCCTTTTTTTTTTTTAACATTTCCCATAATGATAAAGTCTAGTCTTTTCTGTATAGTCTAGAAACCCACTTTTTTACTAAAGTGAAAAGACTATGAATCTGCTTAACACATTTATTTCTTTTCATCTATTCAGTGCCACAGGGTGGTAGCATGTAGTGCAACACATGTTGGTGTTTTTGCAAAGCACCACATGACTCACTGTACTCTAATACACTCTATTAATCCTGTTTGGACAGCTGCGACTGTGCATTTGTTCGCTGCGTGTTAGCTGTTCCATCTTTTTTCTTCTTTTATTTATCTCTATGGCAAACCATCCAGGAATTTCATTTGTTAGTCTTTTTTTTAAGTGAGTTTTACCATTAATCTGTTTCCTATGAGACAACAACGCACCCAGCATGTATACTTACTTCCACAGAATCCATTTATCATCAACTGCTAATCTCAAAGATCATTAACAGTTATTTTTACTTTTTTGAAATAGGTGAAGAATGCGGTAACTTAGTGGACACAATACTAATGGCAAAATTCTATTCTAAACCACTATTTTTCAACATAACATCTACCTCTAAGTACTAGAACTGTTTCACTTCTATCTTTATCACACTGGCTATATTTTAAAACTGCACTACTTTAAATACTTGAATTATTCTTCTGCATTTTTAAAACATGAACTCTAGAACATGTATTTTAAGGTTCAACCCTCCAAAACACATTCACAGTGGTTTTTGTTTGTTACAGAAACGATCTAGGAAATCCAATAAAACTCATCGTCTGTAGATATGCACAGCATGAAAATATACAGTATAGTTTACCAGCAAATATCAGCTACTCTTGATTTAACAGTATTCTGGTTGAAAAGAAAATCAGCTACAGAACTATCGGGTACTGGTCTGTGGGCCTGAGCTTAAACTCCTAAGCTTGCACTTAAAACTAGTAGGAGGTGAAGATTTTTATTTTGTTCCATTTAAAGTTCCCCATGAAATTCACATCAGCTGCAAGTATTCTCACTACTTAGGTAAAACAACCTTGCAATCTAACTTCCAGACTTAAAGCTGAAGATTACCTAATTAAAGTGAGGATACAAAACATCTTGTCTTTCCAAGTTGCTTAAAGTAGTTTTTCCACTGAAAATGCTACTGCCAGTTCTTTACAATCAAATCAGAACTTCTTCAGTTCTGCTATGCTGGATTCCAAATTTTTGTATGTGAAAACTGAAGTAACAAAGAATGCAAGCAAATTATTTTAGGGAAAATGAAAGTAGCCTGGTATCATTGCTGATAACAAACTTAATAAATGAAGAGTCTTTAACTGTTTTTAAAAAGACATTTGCACTCAATGTTAGCTCAAGTTTTACACCTGAAATCCCCAAATGTATTTTTTCACAAAAACTGAGCACTCCAATTTCACAGTGAACATGAAACTATGTTTTACTGCCCTGGACAAGCAGTGTCCATATTCATTCTTCTCACCATCTCCTCTTTTATGTAGTTTAAAGTCTGACCTACCTTTTTAAAAGAATATATGCTCTAGGAAATGCTTCGCATCTTTCTTTTTTTTGAACGTATGTTCTGCAGGTCATGCATGTAGAAATGTACGTTCAACAGCTCATGTTGGTGTACAAAAGACCACACATACATGCTCTTTCTACTGAAAGTGATGGCACATTAAATACATACTATGAAAGGTACAGCTACAGGTCGGGGGGTTTTATATTTAACTCAATTAAACATCCTTTATTAAAATGTTTTATACTTCCATTTCACTTACCCAGTGTCCTTGACATCACTGGCAAAGCAGAGCTCAGCACCAAGATTGAGACACAGTTTCCAATGATCTGTTTGAAAATGACAAAAAGCATTTAAATTATAAATGAGATTGCTGAAGAAAAACTAAAAAAGAAAAACAGCAATCAAGATGAAAAATAATTCCTGAAAGTTACATTCTTCAAGCTGAACCTAAAGCAATTTACAAATCATATTTTTAGTCTTGCTTACTTTTGTCACACTTCTCCATGTGGTGTTACACAAGATGAAGATGATCCAAGAGACAAGTTAAAAAAATATGTAATCAATTGCTTTTAATCAAAGTGTTACATATGCTTAGATTCAAAATAATTCAAAACTACCATGTTGCAAAGCATCAACTGTTTACTTAATTCCTGCAAACTTTTATAAAAGAACCATTCTGCGAGCTTAGACTAGACGACTGATACACCAGCTTAAGCTTTGTATGTAACTGCTTGCGGGATTAGCATTATTTAAGAAATTACAACAAAGAGCTTCCTTTCAATCGAATGCCTGTTGACTACTTTAAATAGTACGAAAAAATTCACAGCTGTTAGATTTTACTCTAGTTTTTGTCAAGCCTTTATAAAGAGTAATTGAAACTTTCTCTCACAAGGGATCACTTTCTTCAGCTCTAATTCTACCAGAATCAAAAAAAAAAAAACCCACAGAAAACTTCTTGAAAGTAGGCAGACATTTGCGTATTCACTATTTATTTCTACTTTACTGCGGGTGTACAGTAAACAATCAATAGAAAACATTAAGAACATTCCAATTCCCTGCTATAACCATTCTGTGTGTTTACCTACTTTCTCACATCCAACAATTTCTAGTAAAAATGTCATTATCCATAACTAAAAAAAAAAACCAACAAAAAACAATGAAACACATTGAAAAAAAAATTAAATTCAACATGTTCCTTGGTTACTGGTCACCTCCCCTTGTCAGCTGTGGGAATATTTTGCCAAAAACCTAAGCACCTTCCTCTGCATTAGGTAACAGCATTTGTTGTTCTGCAGCCAGCGCTAAGTTGTAGAAAGTCAAATTAGCCTCAGACTGCAAAGACCTCCTCAGTCTTAGTTTAATTATTCAAATTTGAATTACTTTGTCTGTATTACTTCTAGCAACCAAGTTCTTCAGATTTCAAACAAGCCCCCTGAAGTACAGTTAGCACAATCAAAGTTACTCATTAGCAATACGTTTCCTTTGAAAAAAGTTCTTTCACTAGCTTTTCTATGGCTAGTTAACAAGCTCTGCTATTCCCAGCATTTTACAAGTGAATGGATGCCGTCCAAACTAAACAGAGCACATCCTTTTTCCCACTCATTCAGCATTTTGAAAATCTTCCAGTTTGTGTTTACGCAGCTTACAAACAAATACTGATCACTGCAAATGAGCCATTCAGGGCAATTACTAACTAAAAGAGTCAGTCTGTCCTGGGTGGCAAGGAAGAGAGGAGGGGGCCATCACCACCACAGCCTTTACCTTACCTTTGTCATGGTTGTGTCATCCTTCCTGGGAGTGAAATTTTCAAAAAAGCGAAGACTGTAGAAGCCGACGACAGAGGACACCATAAGATAGCTGTGAGAATCAAGGAAAAAGGAACCTCCAAGGAATGCGAGATTCACTCAAGTTCTCAGCAGTCTCCTAAAAGTCTTAAGAACCAAAGAAAAACAACAAAAACACTTCGAGTGCTTGAGAAGGACTGACCTTTCCAAGCAAGTGTCTTAGTAAATTACCAGTGTCCCAGAAAACTAGACAGAATACTTGTTAACAGACAGAATTCTTAAAAAAAAGGATACAAAATCAAAATGATTTCAAGTGCTGCTCCCACAAAACCAAAGGTGGATAGGGAGGCATTTCCTATTCCAGGCCCCTACAAGGAGAAAAAACAACTTTACATAATTTAGTAAGATACATGCAGCTGTTCATAAAGTTAACTTCTACCAGGACCAGAAAACCTCACATCTTACATGATATACAGCCTTTTCTGAATTCAGTTTTTAAGGGGCACTCTAATGTTCCAACCTGAAAGCCTCCCATCCTATGCAACTGCATCAGCCATCTGTCAAACCTCAGGGAAATGGATTACTAAGACAGAAGGTATAACGAATCACGTTTAGGGACGCTGCACCTACCCCCCCATGCTGCATTTCATACATACTCCATTACTTTGGAAACTAAAATAAGAGGTCTGAAGAGACGACACTTAGTTGTTTGCAATATCACAGGCAGTGTGGCCGTCTCCACTTAACACCTTTTACAGCTCTGCAAGCTCATATACAGCTATATGCAGGGGAAAGCATTACCAAGTTAATAAAACCCCTCATCATTAAAGACACTACTCCTCAATGTGCTGTTCTTTACTTTCCTGAAGCATTTGTATAATAAAGGAGGGGAAAATGTCATGTTTCCCAAGAGGAACACAGACCAAGACAGGCTTTTCATATTGGGTTCTAACAGCTTCTTAAATTGAACCTTTCTAGTCCGTATAAACATAGGAGACACAAGTAAAATGCAAACTCCAGATTACTGACTTACTTTACTGAATCACACTGTATCTTCACAAAGATTCTGGACTAGTTTTATTAAGAACTAACTATAAAATGACATGTAATACATGCTTATGTGTGCGCAGACTAAAACGTAGAAGCAAAGTCAAGGCTGAGGCTCATTAGTTTCAGTGCTATTTAAGCAGAAGTTCTCACTTGCACTTTTGTAAGGGCTCCAAACCTCTACTAAAGTTATAAAAATCATAAGAGAAGTTTACTTTACCCCTGATCCCTTTGGCATTGCAGTCTCATCAACCAACAGGTAAAGAATGTTGAGAGCAACTAAGAGGACTGAGATGGACTATAAAGAAATTCAGACAGTCTTGTTATTTAAAAATATTCCACATTTTTAAAATATACATTTATCCCCACCAGATTTTGTAACGTTAAGTTCTTTTACAATGGTCAAGAAAAGAACATCAAGTTTGATGCTTAAACACACAGCACTCAAAAAATTTTAAAACTATTCCCCCAAATGACTGAAGAATTCTTTCTTTTTGTTGGGGAAAAAGAAACAAAAGAAAGAGCAAAAATTCTTACCGTCTCAATCAGCAGCAATATCATAACTGCTGGATAGACTAAATTCCTTTCCCAAGCAGAAGCTTTTTTCCGCCGTTCTGTTCAGAAGAGAAAAAACAGAGGCTTCATACCATAAATCACTTTAGAATACAACATGTAAAAATCATTCAGTTTTCTATAAGCTCTTGTTATAACTATAGGTAACAGAAATCTTGAACCCTCACCAACCAGTTCACAAAAATATCCACCCTGAAGAGCTATACAAAGCAATGCCAAAAATATGAAGCCTCTGTAAAGAAAGGGTGGGGAGACAGAGAGAAGCAGATTTTTCTCTCTTGTTACAGGCATGTTTCACAATAACATTTTTTTTCCCCCGGCGTACAGCAGTTCTGCAAAGTTTAAAATATAGGGAATTTAAAAATATGCTGTTTACATTTATATTTCAGTATGACCTAAAGGGACAGAAGGGAATTTCAAATATTTAAACAGTATTTTTGTATTATAACATAAGGCGAGACAAGACTAACTCACTGGACATCACTAGTACATCTAAAGAAAACCCAACAACTCTTTCCTACCACAGTCTTAGTTTTGCACAGAACACACTGATAAATGCAAAACCCTGCAGGCCTCTGAATAAGGAAGGAAATTCCTGTAGAGTGGCTGCCATTACCAGAAGTATCACTTTTCACTTTTAAAAGACACAAACCTGCTAAAAATTATTTTACAGTTCTTAAACACAGTTTGACTTCTATAGAAATAATTCAAAACCAGAGAGTAAAGTAATCTCTTGGACCATCCCAAATAATCATAAGCATATCTTTATATACAAAAAGAGTGTGCTATTGAGCTCCATGCAAGGAAGCCAAGAGTGTTACAATTTCTCTACAATTATGTTAAAAATAAGATCCAAATCAGACTCCCTACTTAAATTTGTGTGCTAGAAGGGCACAACAATTCCATGTAGTGTATTTGTAGAAACTATGACAATTTGAAAGGACTGCAACTGCACAGATTTGGTTAAGAACAAGTTGGAATCAATTAAGAGAGACTGCTATGGGCTAAACACAGCATCTGAAGGTCATTTATGAAACTGCAGTCCACACAAAACAGTAGAAAAAGTTTATTACCTAGATTTGTTTTCTTGCTTTTCACTTTTTCAAGCTCCCGTTCCAACTCCACTATCTGGTATTCCACCGTGGAAGACAGACCTTTTAAAACAGAAGACAGTATTTGCTTTTGGCTGAGACTAACTACAAAACTGTGAGATACACTGTGACAATCCAGAGTCGGGAAGCAGCACATTCACACTTGTGCCTTTGAACTGCAGGTGTTTCTTTGCAATTCTTCAACTACTTTTCAAAAAACAGAGTTTTGTCAAGAACCCTCTGTCTAACCAGAAGAGTTCAACACACCAGAGGTTTCAGTGTGACCCTCTGTGATCCCTGCCTCTTCTGCTGACCAGCTGCTGCGAGGAGTACGACACAGCGACTGCTGAACTGCCGCACAGGTCCAAAAACCAGTGGCGGTGTGGCAGCCTGGCACAGGATGGCTCAAATGCCTCATTCTTGTATCTCTGCACGATTCGTATATCAAGATGTAAAGAATCTCCGGATGCCCTTCCAGGGCATTATTATTTAGCAACTTACAGACAAAGTGGACTTTTGTCTCCAAACTATGCAAGCTGGCAGCTAGACCTCCAGTTTCAGCTTCTGCCTCCCGCTCCCTTTCCCCAGTCCTTTTTACTCAGCAAACTCCGTTTCCATACTGCTGACCTGCTCGTTGACGTATCTGCTGCTCATATCAGTTTGCCTGATTTGGTCAGTCTCTGTGCTGCAGAGCTCCCTCTGACAACCACAACCAGATGTTCCTCCCAACCACCCACGAGACCATATTCTTTCACTTTCCTTTCTACAGTTTACAGCACATGCACGTCACTGTTGTATAACTCCTCAAACTCTCTCCCCCACACCAGCTAAAAACTGACAACCATAATATTAATTCCTCTCTCCCTTGCTAATTTTCTGCCTAAAAATACCCAGCAACTCTTCCTCCTATCCCTGCATGGGCTCTAGGAAACTCAATTCATTTTCTCTCTCCATCCTTTTTCTCTTCAACCTCCCATTATCTTCAACCACCTGTCTTTGCCAGTGCAAGCACATTGTGGTTTCTCTCCTTGATTCCAGTTCCTCTACAAACATTGCAGTGTTCAAGCAACGATACAGCTCTGAAATGCTGACTAGAGATCTGCTATTTCAGTTCTAATCTCGTTATTTCTACTTTAGCTTTTACTCTTTGCAATCGCAAACCGGAAATATCCTTCCTGGGATAAGTTAGAAACACTCTCCACTCATCTTTGCCCTACTTTCACCCCTTTTATTTCTGAATAACCTCACCTGGAAAAAAAAGTTATGAGGGCTTATTTTTTCCCTGTCTACTCCAGGCCAATCTCATTCCGCAAAAACACTCTGTGGCAGTGACAGTTCAAGGTTCTAATAAACACCAAGTCCTCTCTGTTTCCTTCTTTCCTGACTTACACTGCCACCCTTCATCTGTTGGCCGTCCCCTGCCCTCAGCCTCACCTTTGATGGCAGGCTAACCTGTAATAGCCCATGGTCCAGATACTTTTTTTTGTAAACACTCTCTAATAAATTTTCTGTTAGATTAATAGTCTTGTCCAGGCTTTTATCTCGTATCTTGATCATTTGCCTTCAAAACCCAAGTAGCACGGAGGTTGCTGGCACACTAACACTACTTTAGAGTCCAGTATTTCCTTATTTTCTGTTGTCTGCTCATCCATCCAGCAATTTCAGCACAAGACAAGAAGGTAAATTTCTCTTTCTATTCCAGAGTATTAATACTGATTTGTTCAATGCAGTCAAATTATCAATAAGGCATCCAACTGTTTAAAAAAATAATTTTTAAACATTTAATTGCATGCTTCTTTCACACACATTTTTGCATATAACAGAAGCTCTATGCTATGCCTAAATATTTATCTTTGATATCAGTGACATAACGCGTATGTGGTAATATTTACAGGGCTTCAAATATATAAATATCTCAAACCCAGGTCTAGCCAGCAAGACCTACAAATGCTGTTTTGTAACAAGTTCCACTGACTTGAAGCACCTCTATATGAATGTTAGTTTAATTTCTCAATGTTTTTTAAATAAGTAATCATAATACATGAGTTTTCAGAAAAAGTTGGGGTTTTTTAAAAAAACAAATACTTATAAAAATAAGCTTTCATGGTGATGCATTCCCTCTGAAAAAAGTCTCCAACATCTGTTTTATGGAATGACTAACTACTATGAGTTGAGAAAAAGAACAGCTACAGAGCTCAGTGGAAAAAAAAATCTCAAGAACTTTAATGGAAGCAGTTGAAAAAGAAAGAAAACTCAAGTTAGCATCTGACATTTTCTTCTCCATAACTGATTTAGGGGTCTCTGAGGAAAAGCTTTACTCAAAATATATGTTAGTTCCCCCCTCAATATAAAAACCTAGAGCTCAAAACACTGATGTTCATGGGAGTCCTTCCAACAAAGTCACTGTGATCCCATTAGGTCCCTAAGAGACACTTCAGTAGAAATCCTGAATCATATTTAAGTGCTGCGGTAGTTCCTCCTTAAAAATAGTAGCAAACAACAGGTTGCTATACAAAAGGATATTTTACAAGAGGGGAAGGCAAAGTTTCAGATCAGTCAAAAGAGTATTTGAAAAGGATGCAGCTAAATTCCTAAAAGCTCTATAACATTAGCTTTATTTCAAACACTCACAAAGTTCAATGTCAGCGCTGTCTAGCCAATAAATCAAATTGGTAGACGAGACTTGTTTGGACTAGCAATGAAAAGTTAGAAGGGATTCTCCAAGAAAGCCACAAAGCAGCTCATTTAAGGTCAATTTAACGGTATTATTCTGTTTTTCTTCCAGCCCCGACATAAGATTTCAGTACCTCAAAGGAAATTGTAAGAGTATCTATTTGCATTCCCCCTAGGTGATTGGCAGTTCAACACCAATTAGTTCAAAATTACACTGTTACTAGCGTGCAATAAAAACAACACCTTTCATCTTTCTTACATAGGTAAGGATACCTTCAGAGCCAATAACTTTGATCAAGTAAGTATTTTTGATCCTACCCCACCCGTCTCTTTGGATTCAGGAAAACTAATAGCTAAAGGCAACTTTTTTCTTTTAATATAAAAAAGTCCCAGCTTTATTCTTCGACTGTAGGAGTGATGTGGGTACTGAAATGTAATACACTGGAAACAAACATTTTCCCAAAGCCCAGTATCTCTTCAATAGATAAAAATACTAGGGTAGATAACACAACCAAACTTTCCCCTCCCTCCTCCTCTGATTTTCAGTTATACACCGTAGACATCTGAGGAGGAAGAAAATTAGTTTCCGCAAAGACGACATGCAGTTTCACAGCTAGATTTATTTTCAAATATGAAGAGTTTTACAGAATACTCTATCAATTGCATCACCGCCACAACAGTTACATCTGTATGAATCAAGAACAGCACCAGCTCACACAGTGAACTTTTTCCCTCCTCTATAAACAGAGGCTTCACCCAGCCTATTTAGTGGGAACAGCGATTCATGTTCCCCCCTTCCTATGATGAGGCATTGTCTGAGGAAACATTAATTAGGACAAGCCAAAGCAGTGCTAGGAGTGCGATAGCAATTATTCTACCAAGGAACAAAAATAATCAGCATTACCAGTCATCAAATATCGCTCAAGCCTGTGCTCTGGTCCTCTTCAGTTTTAATAAAAATTCAACTCTTTGGTTACACATGGGGAGTATATATTTCAGAACACGTTACTGCAAAACTATCCAGCAGGGTTACTTAAGCACATATATTTCTACTACCACGGCACGCGAAGTGCGCAGGGTAATATATCTGTTCCCGTGCAGCAACAAAAATACTTGCACAATCTGTGTGTTAAGTCACAGACTATGGCCTCTAACATCACAGCACGACATTTACTGATGCAATTAGCACCACGCCTCCATTTGTACACATTTTTTAAAAGTGCAAGAAACATGATAAGCACAGGTCTTCATAGCTCTGGCAAAAATAGTGTCTATTTTTCTGGCATAATCCATACGCATTAGAAAGACTTCTAGCAGAGATGAAGCTTTCCATGCTTGCCACATGAGAACCATACTTGAAATTACCTAATCACTCACCAAAATCTTCAGAGTGTCTTCTTGTGCATGTAACATATTGCCCCCCACCTACATGCTATATCCAACTTTAAATTCTTATTTACTTTTCAGCTTAAGTCCATTAATTTTCTCCATACACCAAGCTATGGGTTTTCGAGCATTCCTTTGGATGGTGGCGTCAATACCATTCCCTTACCACCTGAAACAGAAAAATTCATTCCCTCTCCTGTTGAAGGACATTTAAGCCCCACATCTTTCACCTCTTGAGTAGGCTGGTGAGAGCTCTGTAGAACACGGGTGGGTTGCAGTTCTGCTTCACATCGAACACTAACCAATTCACTGAAAGAATCCAGTCCTTTGGCTGGTGGTTAGGGGAGCCACCTGCACACGTCTTAAATCCAAATCCAATTAGTAGATGCCTAAACCAGACTAGGTCCACCTTACGAGTGATATTACAAAATTACCATATAAACAACTGCTGCAACACAGAAAAGCAGCAGACAATAACAACCTAAATAATCATATTCTCCACCTGAGCAGTGGAAACCGCTCTGCGCTACTTCCAATAGATACCTGAATAACTATTGGGTCATTTTTCTGTATTGCTTCTCTTGTACATAAGCACAATCACCATGACAACGCAAAATATTCAGTAACAAATATTTTACAGTTGCTAGCTAACATCAAACACACAGAACAATTATAATTACCACATCACGGCTTCAAAGACATTCATTGCACGCACTTTTTGCATGTCTGTGTGTCAATGCATATGTGTGTGTGTGTGTACACACATGTGTGTCAGTATAAAAACCTAAGCTTCCCAAACAGCAAAGGTGAACTTTAGTTTTAAACTAAAACCATGTCTGATTTTAGCACAAAGTCACTACTCCTCCATGAATTTTAAACACTGGAACAAAGACAACCACCATGATCTACTGTTATCAAAGGTACCGTCCCTGACCAGGCAAATTCAAAAGGAGACTTATTGAGACTTGAAAGAAGAAAAGACCAAGATATATGACAGAAGACTGCAAAGTACAAGAGAAAGACAGGAAATGAAGAAAACTACGGCTAAAATAAGTCATAAGACAACACAACAATGGATGTGTCATGACATAAATATTCTTTAGTTTTTCAACCTGAAGCAATTGTATAAATTGTAGATGGATGGCTTATCTATGCAGTTAAAAGCAATGCAGAAGAGAATTTGCAATTGCCACATTTATAGAATCGATACATTTTTCAATAATTGGTGCCTGCCATGCTGCAATACTCTTTCTCTTAGAAGCCAAAGCTTCATACTGTTTTCAAAATACTTCAAAAGAGAAACACCTTATCAAGAAGTGCAAAGTTGTAATACTAAATACAAGTAGTCTAAAACATTTGTATAATTGTTCATTAATAGAATTACTAAGATTATTAAATTCATCAAATAGCTCCTAGAATATAATAGGCTGCTCTGATGTTTAATGAATTATTACCTAACATTCTAAATAAGAATGGACTGAAACAGAAAAAATCCTCCAAATGAAAAACAAAATTCACAATGCAGGTAGTTGAGTCTCTTGCTAACATAAGTCCATTGCTCTTCAGACAAGGCTAAAATACAGTCATTTACAATTCCAAACTATTTTGCAAGGATAGTGGTCTGGTCAACTACTCAATTTGCTTTCTCAGTCTCAGAACATTCACGTATTAGAGCTGACGAATACATTGAACACAAAAACAAAGCAAGCCACACACACACACCAGCCAATCTTGAACGACACTGAGCAATGAAATGTAAGCACTTAATGCTTGTTACATACTAAGATGTTGAAATTTTCTATTTTGAGAGAAAAGGCTATGTAAAGGTGAGATCAATACTCCTGACCAGAGCCACTCTACTCTAAATACTGTATTTGAAGCAGTATCAGAACAAGCATACCATTAAGCCTCCTCTGAATTGCTTCTTCCTCTAACGTGATGATATACATCTGCTCATCTAGGTCTTCAAGGATCTGTATTTGGAAACAGAAACATGAACTGACTGAGCATCAGAGTCACTTGTTTTTCTGACTGCACTAATCTAGCCAGGTTCACTTTGTTCTTACTAACCTCTATTTTAAATATATAGTCTACAGTTTTACAATACTGATATACAAATAAGAACTCCACAGAAGATTATTCCATCCTGTCACAGATTTATTTCTTTACTGCAAGCAAACTTTCTGTTAAGTTTTCATTTCAGTTTAAAGCTCTTATGTTCAGTTTCAGTCTACAGAGACTTAGGGAACAGTGGAAGGGACAGTATATCTGACCTACATTCAAATCATATCAATCTTCACACTCAATTTGATTCAAACAAAAATAACTGCAGATTTTGAAACAGTATATTAAAAAGGACTTTTCACATAAGCCAGTATTTCAAGCAAATATAAATTGCTATTGGAAACTAAAACCAAATAAATGAAGTCTGCCTACCTTACGATCGGGTGCTGTGAGTTTAAAGCTTACAGGGAGCAAACCAGTATGTATTTTCAGGGTTGAACTGACTAATGAAAAGGCATGCAAGACCCAAGTGCACCCAAATTATAGTAAATACAAATTAGGAAACATGACAGCAAAGTCACTAGAGCACTTGTACATGGTACAAACTTCCTTCCCTCACAGCATTCAGTACGAGAACAGTAGAGTATCTATGTCTACAAAAGTTCATACAGATGCCAACTACCTACATTTGACCCATCTAAGTGTACCCCAGTACCCTTGTTATCCAGCCTTAGTTTGGTCTTTGTCCTTTGGTCCTGAACTCAAGACAAGCGCACACTTCTCAGGCATTTGCGAAGCAGACATAGTAGACAATACTGGCAATAAACATTATTACTAGCAGCAGTTATATAAATTGGAAATCAGAGGAAGTCTGTACTACTAAAAAATATTTTTTCTGCTGACAGAACCAGGCTTTTCTGCTATATGAAAAAATTTGAACAAGTACACAAACATTGACTATAAAAATTCTGATGAACTGAACAGACAATTATGCAGAGGCACGAGCGTTCTAAACGAAAGTACCCTAACGCCATTCTACCTTCTAACAAACGGCATACAAGGACAGATTTGTGTAACACTTACTGTTGGCTTTACCAGCAACTGACCCATTACTGTAAACATCCGTGAAAGTCCCACTGGCGTGCATACTGCAGAGATAGAAAGATCATAAAAACCAGTGATTTCTCAGTCAGAGACCAGTTTTTATTTGGATGTTCAATGTGCTATTCCGCGTACAACCAAGCACGGTTTTGAAGAGAACTACAAGATCCTCAAACTCCACTACGAACTTTAAAGCACATTGCTACCACATGAATGCTGAACAAGATAAGCATCTCTCCCCTCCAAGAGCATAACCGAATTTCTTGTCAGCAAGGAACACCATATAATCAGGTATCTTAAACTTGCTCAAGTAATTATTTATTCAAAGCACGTCGCACCAGAGGCTGTGTCTACACTAGTAAATTCAGAAGTGCCAGGATACATTCCTGGGCACTAAGACTTGTTGCCCACATCAGTAGAATTGCTAGAACTATCCCTGGCAGGATTTGCCCTGGGCCAGTTAGCACTCTCCCAAACAACTCCCAGGTGCAGTTCTGGAGTTCACGCAGTCCAGGACCCGTTATCACGAGGCAATACGTACACAGCCACCTTCTGCAAACTGCAGTATCATGGATGGAACGACACTAGTTGGCCACAGCACTGGAGAACATCTCAGACACATTTAATCTATTAGCACAGGTACAGCTGTAAGGTCAAGAGATCATGAAGCTGCTTTGCTCTGAAAGTTATACTGCAACTTCAGTTGACAGTGGGCTCAGCTACTGGATTTTAAGCTACTTTTCTTTGAAATAACAACTGGCCATTTATGATCATAGCCTGTGATGTTTTCCAGGTATGGTGCCTATATGCTTGCTGAGATAAAGCCTCAAACTATAAGTAAAAATCAAAAGTTTAGGGAGAACAGCCTTTAAACACTGAAGTGTGTAGGAGATGGAAGAATTTGTAACAGCACAGATGAGGATATACATTTATAGTTTCCATTATAATGAAATAGTGTGGCCAAAAAAAATGAGAAGCACACAAGATTTTTATAGTGAGGATTTTATTTATTTTTATTAACTAGTGTTTCACTACGACTGCTACGTATTACAGGAAAAATATAAGAGTATTCAAAAAGGCTAACTTAAGCTAGTCTTTCACTACAGAGGCAACCTGCAGGCAAAGGAGAAAAGAGAAAGGAAGTAATGCTCCAAATCACCACTGCAACAAGCCCTACTCATACACTGCTTCAGCTATTAAGCCAGGTGAAGATCTAATGAATCTCCACCCCAGCATCTACCACTTTCCCACTGCTATATGCTGCCCTTTCAGCTACACATCTAACAGCTTAGAGGGCCTTAAATACCTTCAGTGATTTGCTTGTCTAAGTTACAAATAACTCTTCCAAAAATTGGCATTTCGTCCCAGTTATTTTGGTGAACTAGTTTGCAGTAGCCCCAGAATACATGCTGTGTTTTCAGGTCTGCTGAAACAAACTGCAAGACAGATATAGGAAGTTTATAAGCCAACTCCCCATTAAAACATTCAGTAGCTGGTGTGAATCACACTCTTGAACAGCCTACATGAAACACTCAGAAACACTTTCTTATTTTTACTTCCCCCCATCCCCTTCCTCCACTGAAGTGGATTTCAGAATCTCCACATACAGAGAACCAAAGGAGACTCTGAGGTCTCCGTGAGCAGCACCTTTCACAGACAGATCTGCTTAGTCTAGAGGACATTTCAAACCATCATTCCCCACCCTGTCTCCACAGGGACAGCCCTGGGTTAGCTGGAACCCTATAAAGCCTGGAGAACAGGTGAAACCATGATAATCTAGAAAGGGAGATGTTCTATCCTCCCTCCCCTCAGGAATTCTCTAGAAGTTATGGGGGGAGGGCAGCGGGGAGGCTGAAATTGTAAGTGGGATTTGGAGCCTTCCATCACCTTCCTTATTCCCCCAAACATGGATGGCTGAACCAGTTGCTATAAGCTATTTATTTCATATGCAATCATACAACTGACCTCCAGACTGGCCAGACACCAGTTTTGTGATTACGAAAGCTAACTGCACTGTGTTCCACTTCTGCCTATATAGGAACATTTTCAACTAAAAGAAGGAGGATATTTTACTGAGTACAGGACAAATTGAGTGTTCCAAAGTAACTTTCTCTCCATGCTACTGACCTCCTGCAGCCACTTCATTTAAAAATTGTGCTTTTCTGTGCAGAATGAAGTCCCTATTTTTCAAATGCCTGATTTAAAAAGTTGAAATTTTGGTGAGGTGTGAAGTTCCTCAAAACTTGAGAATGTAAGGTAGCATTTGTTCAAACTTCAGAATCCAAACCTAACAAATTTACATTTAAACTTAATAATTAAAAAAAAAAATTACACAACTTTCAAAATCTGAGTTTTCACAATGTAAAAGTTTCCTTTAATCTTTTTTAAAAAAAAAAAAAGTCATTCATCTTTTGGAATAATCAGGAAAATACTTACACAGAAGTAACAAGCATCCCATCAATGATATACAGGAATATAAATATGGGAGGTAGAATTCCCAGAGGTCTGTAAAGAAAATATTGAGCACAGCCTTAGCTTATTAGAAATAGGTTACTTATGCCACAAACACAACTGAATTCACTTATTAAGAGTTCAGGATTGAACAATTGTATTTTCAAGAATAAATTAAGAATTACTCAGTTAATAATCCTGCAGGCAACTAAATCCCTAGGTATTTGAGCCTGCAAAATATCTTCAGCTTTTCCTTCCATTCCACTTAAGCCACTTGTTTTTAAACAAGTCATGTCCACAGGAGCATGGAACTTCTTAGCATGCTAAAAACAGATCTAACAGAAAAAATGGTATTGACTAATACAGCTTCTTCACAACCTGTGCGATACTCACATAGCACTTACTAGAAATATGTTCAATTGAAAACATCCATTTCCATAATTAAAATTAAACTAGTGTGGTGTTTTTTTGAATTCCATACCATACAAAGACTCCATACTGGCAGCATCATTGTCTATGAGTGCTGAAGCCACCCATACGATTCCAAGGATAAGCAGTGCAAGAAGAATAAGCATTACAAGGGTTTCCAAAATGCGCGCTCTGATGCCCTGTGGGCAGAAGAGGGGAGACAGAGGAAAGACAGCCAAGAACTTTGAATCAGGTATTTTCAAACATAAGAACAATACAAACAGCAGTTCCTTCTTCATAAATATACATTTTATCATGTAGACAAAAGCATAACATGTAAAGCACATTTAAAAAGCAGTGCATAAAAAAAGGAAGTACTTAGGGCTTTATAGTGCCCAGATTGCATTTTTCCCCATAAAAATCATAGAAAAATGTTTTAAATTGCATCTGCCTTACAGTACTCATTAATCTCATTATTCCATAAAGTATTCTTTATACCGTATGATCTTCCTCGAGCATTTTTAAAAGATGGATTACTTTTCTAATACTTTCAGCAAAGAAAGTGGATTAGCAAATTTTTATCTATGATTCCAATCAAGGGAATGGAAAGCCAATTATGGCAAATAGCCAAATGGCCCAGCAAGCATTAAACCCTGCGCAGGTACAATGCACCAATTTAGTTAAAATACATTCTTCAACTGCAATTGCTTCTGCTCCATTCCTCACAGTCTTCAGAGCCCTCAAGCGTACGCTCGGAGTACTGCTCGCTTAGTCTGCCCTCACGCTGCTGCTGCAGCCCCATCCATTACCTCCCAGCTTCGCCTGCTACCCGCTGAACGGGACACGTACTTCTCACTGACAACACAAAAATCACAGGTCTACAAGGTTATACATCACAGCATTTGCTCTTGAGCCTAAAAATGTAGCACTCTAGTATCTGAGCGTTAGATTTGCAAGTGTAAATATACCAAATACACAAAATCATATTTATTTACTTTTTACTGGTGTTTTTAACACTAATTCTACTAATTCAAAGCAACAGAGCTATTGGGACACTTTCTTCAGACATCCTTGCCACTAAGAGACCAACTAATTGCTGTTCACACAACAATTTCACTTCTATTTGCCAGTATACATCTCCACAAGCAAACCCAATCTCCATGAGCACTGATCTCTTCTAGCACACCAGTTCCTCTCTGCTATCACTCCTCTGCTGAACAGCTAAGGTAGCACCAAGGAAAACCAGACAGAGACCTTCACAAAATTCCCCTCAAGGCTTAAGTGGGCAGGCAAGTCCAACTCCATAAATGATCTCAAACACCAAACTTCAAATTAAAGGTAGTATGGATAGGATATGGATTCACTCCTAGAATGTATTTTGTGTACAATAAAAGCATCTTTGAGGTTGTTAGAAGTTATTAAAGTGTCATTTTTGTAGTACTCAGAAACTAACTTTCATCCTTCCATGAGTTATTTTGAAGGTGAGCATCTAAGCCAAACGTACGTATTTGAAGATTAAGTAGCCATCTGTTTAACATTAGAGTTTCCAACTTGAGCAGTAAGTTAGGACGAAACAAACGGATTACAGTCTAACTACTGAGCACAGGTATAGAGCCTTCACTTTACAACAGAAGAGTCACAGGATGTGACATTCAAGGATGCATGCACAGATCTGCTTCAAGCTTTCCAAAAAAAAACCTTGAAGTCTCCTAGGAAGAGGAAAACAGAAATCTGCCTTCTGGGTTTCTGAAAGTCTTAGCCACAGAGAGTGGATTCCTTACTTCTCTACACACACAAATCTCAGCCTCTCTGACTTCAAGTTTGACAGCAACAGATTCTTCTGGACAAACCTGGGAAATATTTCACTTTACATGGCAACCCAAACACCAAATCCTCCTCCTTCGGACGCAGTAGAACAATTGTCAAAACAGATAAACAAGAAATATGCTGGATGGAGATAGTCAGCTGTAAATAACACTTTTTCCATATTTACTGTAAGTGTTCTCTGAAGACAGGTAAGATTAGGACAATACAAACAACACACTCAAAAAAAGTAACATAACCATAGCAAGCACTCAGAGGTAACCGTTGCTTTTGGCCAAAACTACCATTGACACAAACTCTAGAAAAAGCCAGTTAGCTGCCTAATGAGCCTCCCCCCATTTTTTTGCTTTCCATACTAGTATGAATAACCTTTGATCCAGAAAATTGGAGCAATCTCCTTCTGGTCTCACTGGTTACACCTATCTCTGCACCTACATGACACATCAACAATTCTGCAGTCTCACGTATGTATTGAGAAGCAGGACTGACGGTTAGCTACAACAGCATAACAATTCTTATGTACACAGCACACGCACTAGGATTCACACACTGATGATCATTTTAAAATAGTAAAAATATAGTAATGTTCTGAAGAACTTCAGTGACGTGACTAGATAGAAACATTCTCTCATGGGCACTAATGAATACTCTGTAACAGTCCAGGATAAGAAAAAAAATTAAGGTGCCTAAAGCATGTAAGAAAATACTTAATCTCAATTAGGCATCCATAAGACTGTGCCCTATTAAAACGTTAATGTTCCAGGCACATTAGTTCATACTTACACATTCGTGTACCTGTCAAATAGCTGCTATTTGTAAGGAATGAAAGGTACAGGATTACACACACACACACACACACACACACAACTTCTGGAGAATCACAGAGCGACTGAGGTTGGCAGGGACTTCTGGAGGACACCTTACTACTTCTGATTTTTCCTGAAGGTAGTTCTGTTTGCTTAGGTGAAAAATCTGAAGCTTGAACATTATCATTAGCAACATGACTAATGTAAGAGCTGGGCAAAAATCTATACTCCTGACTTTGAAAAACAGGGAGAAAAAACAAGTAAATACAAGAAACATTTCATTTTATTTCAATGAAAGGAAAATTATGCAAATAGACCTTGAAATTCAATGCTGAATTTTTTTTTTTTGAGCAAAAACCTCTTCGGTGACATTTGGTTTTGGCTTAATGTTTCTTCTTTGAGTCATTTCATTTTTCTCCCACAGTCCCATTATATTACTCAGATTTCTTAGATGAACCAAATGTCACGGCATATCTTCATGACACACAAGACATTGCCACTTCTATTTCACATAATACTTGTTGCACTTTTTGAATCCATTTAATCCTCACTTTTTTGTGTGTGAGAAGGAGCATTAGTCTGCCATCTTCAAAATCAGCAATAATCCCACCTAAAACTGGAGATTTCATCAGCTTGTAAGAGTGCACTTCTTGTTTGTGTTCAGCCTACACAGTCATATCCATCTTGAGTACGGAACTAACAAATTATACCATATGAAAGACCAGGTAGTGTAGGTACATATGACTACTTCAAACCAGAATCTAACCAAGCAAGGAAAAATAGTCGTACGGCAACAAATCTTAGTGTCAAAAAAGTGACTGCATTTGAATCAACAGGAAAAGCTCTTTGATTCATCATCGTCAGCGTGCAACTGGAAACAAAGGAAACCTTGACACACAAATGAAGGAGATGGCCTACCCAGCAAGTTGAGTGTGTGTGCACGTGCATGTGTATGTACACGTACAGGGGCAGGTAAGGGAAGAAGGGGGAATAATCATCTTTTACAGCAGAGTTTTCCAGTTTGATTGTTTAATCAGGAGCAATTGCCTCATGAGCTCCCATGATCACTGCTTAACATTCCTATGGAAACTAAACTGGCTATAAGAAAGAGGAATGGGAAAATAGTTTTTAATTTTAGCTTTCCATATTGTATTCAAGAAGGAAAATTAAGTTGTCCAAGTCTTCATCTGGTCGTCTTTTCCTAATGGTTCTGACAGGTAAGAACAAGGAAAGTAAGAACTCTACAACCAACCAGCTTGCATCAGGTTTTTCAGAAAGTTCTTCTAGAGGTCAACTTTCAAATCTGCATTTGATAACCCACATGCTACTTCATTTTTAAGGTATCCTTCATTACAAACAGAAGGAGTATGCCACAAGCAATTCACTGTCTTATGAATTATTTTAATACAACTGCACTTTCAGTTTAACCTGTTTTAAGGGAGGAGGGATTTATTTGTCTCCAAACCAAGCATGGATTGCACAGTAAAGCACCAGAAGGATCTTGACACAGTGAGGAAAAAAAAAAAAAAGACTGGTTTTTAAATACTAGAGCATAGGATAGATGCAAAAGAATTCAAATGCAACATGCAGACTGAAACAAATTATAAATGTCTATACAGCTTAGGGGGGGCATAAGGAGAACAACCTTGACACCACTATCAATTAAAACAGCAAACTCAGATTTCAGTACAGCATTAACTACACAGCTTTAAGTAACGCTCCCATGCTGTAGACTTACAAGATGGAACATAATCATAGCTTTTAGAAATAAAAATGTTCCCCTCCACCTCAGGCTAAATTGTGTTGGTTTTAAACACAGTGATAAGACAATCCTAAACAGAGTGAGCTCAGGCAATACGCTCGCTTTGTTTTCAGTAAGACAAGCTAACCCCTGCAGTACTTCTATTACTATGTAAATTTTAAAAGCAGGTCAAATCCCTTACTCTCTCTTGGCCAATTACTGCTGGGACGCTGGTTAAGTTGGAGAGGTAACAGAAAAAAAACAACTCACACCAAGATTTTAAAATTTTACAGTGCTACAAATATCAGATATCAAAAAGAAAAATCACAAACTACACAAAATGTAATTGAGCTTGAAGTTATAAAATTAAATGGGGAATGGAAATGCACGTTGAAGTGCTGGGTTTTCATACTTTCACTGCTATACACTAAGAATATTGCTTTGACTTCAGCTTACATTTGTGTGCATGAGGAAACAGGAGTGGGAAAGAAATAAGGGAAGTAGGAGGACCTAGAAAAACATATATTCCTTTTTAAAAAAATCTTGTCTAGGATAAAGCCTGGGAGTAGAAACATTATTTGCCAGTCAGCAAGATTAGAAAATCTGAATTTGTAACCAGGACCCACAGTCCTCAAAGGAAATGGATGAAGCAATGTAGACCATGGTTACTTCTTCAGATACTCCTTGAAGATCTCAAAAAAAAACAAGTGTGACATGAACAGATTTTTTTTTATTATTATAGAAAAGGAGCTTAGAAAGCATTCTCCCTTTTGAGGGGGTTGTTCCTACTCGAAAGAGATGAACTGGAAGTGAAACGGAAAGAGCACAA